CTATGATCACCCGGGAAAGAATGCAGGGACCCAGAAATCAGGAATTCCTTGATTTATAATGACTGTGCCTCCCAGGCAGTAGTAATCCCTGCCCTGTGTCCTGATCTTGGCGTTGGAACGCAGCTCTCCACCATCAAGTGCTGGGAACCTCAGCCTCAGATTAAACACAAACAGATGACTATCTCTCATTGGCGCTTTACTCTCTAAGCCATCCTGGAGGACAACGGGCTGGGAGGAGACTTCTCCTGCTGGCCCTGCTAATGAGCAGGCTCATTTTCCTGGAAGGAGAGAAGAATGACTTTTGTGTCTAGAAACATAGGAGAGCAAAATCAACTCTAGATGCTATTAGTCCTCTGGTAGCCCAGGCGAGAGACTGTGAGACTGCAGGGACATCCAAATATAACCTGAGCCTCCCCTGCTTGCCTGGTCTTCCACTAAACCCCTAGAGAGTGGCCCAGAGGGTCAGGCTAGACTAGAGCTTCAGGGTGCAAACACCTTTTGGAAACAGATGGAAGCTTGGACAGAGGCCAGCTGGTGCCAATTTCACAGGATGGAGCCCAGGCAAGAAGCAGCCTTTTTAGTTCCTTGTTAGAGTTTGCAGACTTTGAGAAAGTTGAACTCACTTCTAGAGTGTGAACTCAAAGATGGAGTCTCAAAATTAAGAAAGTGGAGAAATTTCGGCTGCAATGTTGTGTTGGCAGTGGGCCAGGGTGGGGGTAGGTACCCAGAACAGTGGCCTCACATTTTCCAGTTGGCTCTTGGAATTCCTCCAAGAATCCCTGGAGTTCCAGAGTAACCCCTGTGGTCACCTCTCTTGTCTCAGCAACTGCACCTGGGAAAGATGTGAAGGTTGTGGTTCCAGCTCTTCGTAAGCCCCAAGGCCACAGGAAGCTGTCCTTGGGATTCAGAAGAAAGGGCCCAGAGCTGCTGCTTTCAGGGAAGGGCCTTCTTCCTTCTGTCGAGCTGGGTGTGGTCAGGCTTGCCATGGGTCCCACCCTGCTAGGGAGGGAGATGAAGACAGGCATTCTCCGCTCCAAGCTGCCAGGAGCAGTTGCATGTCCATGGCAAGATGAGTGATTGCCGTCAGCTAAGTGTGCTCACCCCTAAAATGGGGGCAGTTCCATGAGACAAAGGGCATGGCATTTCTGGTTCACGAGACACACTCTCTCCTGGCTGATTCTTAACTTCTTGCATTCATTTTTTATTCAACGAATGTTGATGTGGAATCCGGGGCCCTGGCTGGTTGCTAGGGATACAGGGCTGGCTGGCAGGATTGCCGGTTGGGAAGGGTAGGTGGCCCAGGGCAGTGGTTCTCATTGATCAGGCCTGTGCTAATGCTCAAATCCATCCTCAGCCCCTTTCATCAGAGCAGGCAAGGGTGACAGAGCCCATTGGTTTTGCAAACAATTTCTTTATTAAAGTGTCCTGTCCAGCAGGACAGTCATCGGGGGTTGCAACCACCTGGGAGAGAATGGGGGACAAGAGACACGAAGAATGGACAGCAAGACAGGATGTCTGATCAAGCTGTCAGTTTATTGATTTTAATTGAGGGTTTTTGTATTCTTCAGTAACTAAGGCTCAGGGAGGAAAGGAGAAACTAGGACGCAAGCCATGGTCTCCAGACCGATTGTTCTTGAGCAGCCACCATATCAACCATAGTAACCAACATATCAACAATATCATAGGTAATCAGTAACAGGATGTCGGCAGGTACAGCATAAATCACATTCTGAAACAGTTGCTACAAACAATTGAAGCTAAGCGTGTGATTAGTTTCATAACTTCTTTCCCAAGCATCTAGCCAGCCGGGGTTTTCCACTGGCCCACAGTTCTATATTCAAAATGGCTTCAGTGTGGCTACAGTACACATCTCCTGACATTAAAGAAGCTGTTTTTGAAAAAGAAGTAGCAATAGAGAGTACAATAGAGTAGCTCCTGCGGGTTGAGGACTATATCAGCTCCCAGCAACCCTGTGATTCTGTTTTGTTCATTTTGCAGTAGAAGCAGTTGAGATCAGAAGGTTAAACAATGTTTCCAGTGTTGGGCTGGTGTAAGTCACCACCTGTGTTGCCCAATTTTGTAGGGGTGTGGGTTCAAGTCCAGTCTAACTCCTGCAAATGAGCCTGGGAGGCAGTGGAAGATGGCCCATATGCTTGGGCCCCAGTCATGTGGGAGGCCCAGATGGAGCTTCTGGCCTCTGGCTTTGGTTTGGCTTAGTCCCAGTTGTTATGGCCATTTTTGTGTGTGTGTGTGTGGGGGGTGGGGCGGCAGTGGTGGGTATGAACCAACAAATGGAAGATTTCTCTTTCTGTAACTCTGCCTTTCAAGTAAGTAAATTTTTTTTAAAAAGATTTTATTTATTTTTATACAGAGAGAAACAGATTTTCTATTTGCTGGTTCACTCCCCAAGTGGCCTCAATGGTCGGAGCTGAGTTGATCTGAAGCCAGGAGTTTCTTCCGGGTCTCCCACGCAGGTGCAGGGTCCCAATGCTTTGGGCCGTCCTCTGCTGCCTTCCCAGGCCACAAGCAGGGAGCTGGATGGGAAGTGGAGCAGCTGGGACACAAACATGTGCCCATATGGGGTTGATACACATGTAAGGTGATGATGACTTAGCCACTAGGCTACCATGTCGGGGCCTCAAATAAGTAAATCTTAAAGGAATTTAAAAAATACATTAGAAAATAATGTTCCTGGTGTCAGAGTTTGCAGAAAATCCCAATGCATTAAGATCCAAATGAACCCTGAGATGCTGCAGCTGTGATTTTTCCTTCCCGCCCTCTTTGCATCACAGTCCTGCCACATAAGCACAGTGAGGCTAGGGCAGCCCCTCATTCGATGGAAAGGGAAGCTGAGGTCCAGAGAGGCGTGGATTTGATGGGGACCTCAGGCCCTCCTCTTAGGCTGCTTCAGGTAGTGTGCTGAGGGACTGTGACCACATGGGCTGACCTTGCTCCTTCTCGGGGAAACAGTCTCTTCCCTGGGAAATGCTGGGCTGGTCCGGGCCTGGCAGAATGGCTTCCAGGCAGTCTCCAGTTCAGACTTCTGTCTTTGAACTTTCCCAAGTTACAAACCACACAATTAACGGCTTGCTAATAATCCATCCATCTCAACCCAGGCAGACAGAGCTGCAGGCGGCCTGCCAGCTCCCTCCTCCTTGGGGAGGGGATCAATGCCTTATCTCGCTGGGCCTGTGAGGAGAGGAAGGAGGGAAAGGCAAGCACTTAATTAAGGCACAGAGAAGCAGAGGGAACACCATGCCCTCCCTCGCTCCTCAGGTCTCCCCTCAGAAGGCAGCAGTGCCCACTGAGGCTCTGGCTGTTTAGGGGGGTTCTTCTCAGGCTGCAGCCTCCTGTGGGAAGCAGAGGAAGATGGGTCGAAGCAGAGACAGGCCCTGCAGGGTTCTAATGCTGTGGCTGCCTCACCTGGGAACACCCTTTCTTTACTGCCCTCCTTCCCCTTCCTGCCATGGGCAGTGATAGGGGTGGACAGCAGCAGCAACTCTATTGAGAAGTGGCCGTTTGGGCCTGAGTTCTCACCTTTCAAGTGTAGCGATGAAACATGCCCAGTTATGTTCAGGGAGAGTTTTCTTGGCTCTGCTTCCCCTCGTGCCTGAAAATGCTTTAGGAAGAGCCCTGTTCTGTGTGTCTCTGAGATGGAAGGGCTGGATTTGGTCTTTCCTCTGTTTTGCCCTGGGAAGAGCACATGGTAAGGCATGTGTCTGTAGGGTGGATGTCCCGTGCAATTGTTAGGGTGCTGCTTGGAATACCTGTAACCCAGAATGGCAGTCCCAGCTCCATCCTCGAGTCCAGCTCCTCGTTAACGCATATCCTGGGAGGCAGCAGGTGATGGCTCAGGAACTTGGGTCCCTGCCACCCATGTGGGAGACTTGGACACTGAACTGCTGCCAGCTGGAAATTCACCATGAAAATCAACAAAGGCTACAAACCAGGATCTCTACCCAGCACCTGCTTTTACCACATGTTACTGTTTGTACTCATTATCTGGGGAAGTTCTTCACCTGGGGGCAGGATCAGGAGCTGATGGATATGAGCTCCCTTTTTTCCAATTTTCAGAGAGAATTAAGATGTGGTCACAGCCAATGGATCCAGCAGGACCAAACCCCAGGGACCACAACAATGGCAGGTTGGGAAAGGCATGTTTGGTTTTCAAATCTTCTCTACTTCCCTCTATTCCAATTGCCTGGGCTACATCTTAAACCAAGTAACTTGCATATCATGCATGGCATTCTTCTTCCACAGGTAAGGGTCCAAGCTAGCATTATCCCTCGATGTACAGACTGCTTCTGTGGCCCAGAGGGCCATTCCTAATCTTTGTGTCTGGCTGTGGTGGTCACATAGGGTTTCACACAGCACCCACTCCTGGTTAGCCTTGGAACCCCTTCTGTGCAAGAGACAGGGCTTGTAAAAACAATTCAGTTTAGACAACAAAAAGAACATTTTTTTTGGCCTGGGTGCTCTCTATAAGTTTCTCCCGGTTACTTGAACAACTTTTCTTCTGATTGATTTAGTTCCCATTTGCAAGTCTAACCACCACCTGTGTCTTCTCCTCCTGATTGGAGTTCTGCATTGCTTTTCCCCAGCACAGCTGCCCAGGAAGCTTGGAGCTGGGCGTTCCATTCTGAAGTCATCTAACCAGCCCTCCCCAAATGGTTTTGTATGGATGTGCCTTCATCTGGCTTCAAGTTTCTAACTCAAATCATGGCCCTGTTGGCCTCCAACTGTACCCCCTGATGTTGCCAATCATTGGCTGTTATGATCCATGACTTGGTTTACCTTATTTGCAGAGTTCTGTGGGTTGCACTTATCTGGGGTGGGTGACAGTTGGAGAGCTCCCCTGGCTCTTTAGGTTGGGGATTATAGCTATAGTGGACCTTGTGCTTGTCTCCTTGATATGGTCACAAACCAGAAGAACTAGAGCAGGCCAGAATGGAAGAGGATCAGGTACTCTCCCTCCCTACCCCTCTCCCAAAGAGTACTGGTTTTCCTCTCTGGTTGTGGACTATATTTTTGTCATCAGTTCTTGCTGGGGGTGAGGTGGAGGTGGCAGGAAGGATAAAGAGAACAGAGGTCATGGTCATCCTGGAAGGAACAGGGAGAAAGGGAAGAGAAGTGACCAGAGTCAACAGGGCAATGTCCCATGGCAGCACAAGGCTGGCCCTTGGAGAGGATCCCATGGTCCAGCCTTCTCCTGGTAGAGAGCTCAGATGGTACACCATCCTCTGTCTGCCAACATTCCACCTTCTGAGCCCTCAGAGCTCAGGCCCATTGATGCCATTGTCTGTCTCCCAGTCTCCCCTGCGGGACTACATCACTGGTTCTGGGCAATGAAACATGCCCAGTCATGTTCAAGGATCTATCCAAGTTCTGTTTCCTTTCTCTACCTGGGTCTCCCATGTGAGTGCCGAGTCCAAGGACTCAAACCATCTTATTCTGCCCTTCGGCACATCAGTAGGGAGCTGGATCAGAAGTGGAACAGACAGAACTGGAACTGGTACTCCTATGAGATGCTGGCATCACACCTGGAGGCTTAACCTCCTTCCCTTCCTATCCTTTCTGTGGTACCAATGGAAGCAGCAACTCAGGATGGCAGCCTTGCACACTAGAAGAGCTCAGATCTCTGTATCACCACTGGAGAACAGGAGAGCTACTGGACCCACAAGGGGGAGGAGAATTTTGGCCCCAGTGACCCTTGTCGCTGGTAACCTTTAACCCAGTCATGCTATGTAATGTGCTTCATCACCTGGCAGAGGGGACTTCACAGATATAATTAGGATTACTAACCAGATGACCTTCATAGGGAGTGCATCCTGTAATATTTGAGTAGACTTGATGCATTCACACAAATCCTTAAAAGCAGCAAGAGAGACTTAAAGAGTGAGGTCTTCACACACTGCTGTGGCTCTCAGGTGGGATAGGTGGGGAACCTAGAGCTATGGGTGGCGTCCAGCAGCTGACAATGTCTCCTGACCCACAGCCAGCAGGAAAAGGGGGGTAGTCTTAAAGCCAGGCAAGAACCTAAAGGAATTTGAACAGGCCTGTTCCTAGGGCCTGTTCCTTAACAGCCTTGCTGATGGACACCTTCATCTTGACCTTGGGATACCTGAAGTAGAGGACCCAGCCAAACCACAGCCTGGGTGGTTTATGAACATCTATTTTATAACCTCATCAGTGGGTATTGTTTGAAAAGCCACTAATTTATGGTAATTATTATGGCAGCATAAAATACTAAGCCACCCCCAAAGGACTTTGCATGAGATTTTAGAGCTGCTTGTTGTGGCCGCTGAAGATGCTCTGTGAGCAGGTCCTGTGTGTGTGTGGGAAGCTTCCCTCAGGCCCAGAGGCAGAGACTGGGTGCTGTGGCATTTGTTTGGGTCCCACGGGGGGAACTGAGAGTCTCCATAGGGATGGGTGGTTAGCTAGCAGTATGGCTGGCATCTCACAAGCTTTGGGGAGCAGAAATAGGGCCCAAGCAGAAAAGCTGAGAATGAGTGGGGCCAGGCAGGCATCCCAAATCACACAGAGCTGAGGCTGGGAGCTGGGCCTGTACTCCAAGCTGGGTAGGTGACTGTGTGTGCATGTGTGTGTTTGTGCACAGGTCACATCTGCCCACCATGCAGGACCCCTCTTCCACAGCTCCTGGATCTCCAGGGTTAAAGTTTCGCTCCAGAGACTGGGAAGTGCAGCTTCTCCACTTGGGTAATTGAAATCAATTTCTCAGCCTTATCTTTCAGAAACCCATATAGTCTAGACTGTAATCGGAAAGCCTTGGCTCGAGCAACTTCTAAATGAAAACCCCTTGGCTAGCGGGGAGAGAGGGGGTGGAGTGGCTTCCCTTTCGTGTTTTCTCAAGGGGGACATGTGGGAGGAGGGGACATCTCTCTGTTCTTGTGGCTGCTGGAAGTGTGACAACCTGTTGGAAGCTGCACGAGCCTGTCTTTGGGTCAGGATTGTGTGTGTGTGTATGTGTGTGAGAGAAAGAGAGAGAGAGAGAGACTAGGCACTTGGGGGAGGCCTTCTTATGTGTCTGCTCTCTGCCTCTGAGTTTGTGAGTGTGTGCATGAGAGGGAGGGGACTATTCCTGAGAGTAACTGTCTGTGTGGTTGAGCGTTTGCTATAGCAGGTCACATATCACATGGGCCACTGGCATCTCATAGCAGAGGTGCCTGGCTTTGGGTCCTGGCTTTGTTCCTGATTACAGCTTATTCCCAAGACTTATTCAGGGTGGCAGCAGGTGGTGGCTCAAGTACTTGGGTCCCTGACATCCATGGGGGTGAGGAGCATGTGTGTGTGTGTGTGTGTGTGTGTGTGTGTGTGGCGGGGGAGGGAACCCAGATCAAGTTCTGGGCACCTGCCCTTGGCCTGGCTTAGCCCCAACTGATTCTAGCATTTGGGGAAGTGAATCAGTAGATAGAAGACTGCTCTGTCTCTGCCTTTTAAATAACTAAAAATACTGCATAAATAAGAATTACAGAAAAGAATAAGTGTGTGTGTGTGTGTGTGTGTGTGTGTGTGTGTGTGTGTGTGTGTGTGCTTGGATCAAACTCACAGGCTTATAAATAAATACATTTGAAATGGGAAGGTTGATGAGATGCTTGCAGGGTTTTTTTTTTTCCCCCAGCAGGATTTCGCCTCTGAGCTCTCCTGGGTTCAGCATTAACTTCCACCTTTCTCCCATGGTCCCATGGTCCCATGGTCCCATGGAGGAGAGCTCTTCCCTGTGGCTGCTCTTGTTCCCTGGGGTCTGCTCCCCTGTAAGGGCGGATGTGCCAGAAGGCAAGGAGCCTGGCTTCGCTGGATCCCTGGGCAGGACATCCTCTGCATCTAGTACTCAGGATGCTTGTTCTTGGGAAGGTGGGAAAAGATGAAGAGGTTATGCTACCGTCTCTCCTTGAAGCCTCAAGGTGAGCTTCCCAGATAGCCAGCTGGCAGGTGGATGCTCCCTTGTCATGGCTGAGATTCTAGACTCAGAGGCCCATTCAGGTGAGGGGAGCTTTCTGTATCACCCCTTCTCACTCCCTATTTCGGGAAAGGATCTCCTACCCTCCTGGAAGCTCCATAGATTTCTCGTTTGAAAATCAGCCTTGAAATTCCTGCCAGTGCTGGCGGGGTGATGATGGAGCTGGTCATCAATGCCAGATTATACTTCCCAGGGTGGAGGGGGCAGTTACAGCTGCACCTTAGAGGATACTGGTAGTGCTATCTGGGGTTGGGGCAGCTGGTCCAGGCATGGCCTCACTCTGTTTGGGATTCATGCCTCCAACTCAGATAGGGGAGAAGCAAGGAAACAGAGAGGTTGGCTTTGGATCTGCTGCCCCTCGGAAAGAGGCAGAGGGTGACCGTGGCATCAGAAACAACAGGAATGGCATTAATTTGAGGACCAAGAGGAGCCTCAGGGGATTGTGGGATGATGGGGACAGTGAAAGGCAGCACAGGACAGATTGAGTCATTCTGAGTGTGTGACAAATTAGCACCAGCCCATGAAGAGGCTGAGCTTGGCCCCTCTGCCTTTCTGACCTTATTCACTGTCCCATTATGCTGTCTGGGCATTTAATTTGGTGTTTTGGAAAGTAGTCATGTGATGAAGATGGTAGGCATGGTAGTGATGGGCAGTGCTGGGTATGGCAACAGTGGTATGTTGGAGGTGAATTGTGGGGCTGGGAGTTTTGCTGCCATTGGAGGTGACATGAAGGAAGGGCTGTTGATGGTGATGGTTCTGGTGGAATTTGGGGAGGTGGTGTGGATGATCTGGGGCAAAGCTTACAGCAGCAGTGGCGTTGTGAGAGGCGATGGGTTATGTAAGGAAGGTTGCTGACAACTTCAGGTAAGGTGATCAGAAGTAGAGCAAGGACACTGGCTCCAGGGTGGCACTGAGGAGCTAAAGGAGGGGACCAAGAGATAAGGCTGGCAGGTGGTGGCTGATGTGGAGCCAGTTTGAACCAGCTGAGCTGGTTGTTGTCACTAGATTGTGAGCATGCTTGGGAGGTGCAAATCTGTGCAGGCCAAGCTTGGATCTCAGGCAGACAGCTCTCAAGCAGACCAGCTTGTCTGGGATCAAGAGCCAAGGAGTTAGAGAGGGGTCAGTCTGGGAACCCAGAGGCCCACTGCAGGCAGGTGGAAGCCTAACCTGCCTCCTTTCCACAGGTCAGGACTGTGCTGTGGTTGGGCTTTAGAACTGAAAGGAATGGAGGTAAGCACCATGGACAGAGAGCCACGATGGAGGGAGGGACTTCTGTTTGAGTTGAGGCCATCTGCACTTGAGAAAACTCACACTCCCCTCCCCCAACCCTGGAAACAAATCCAAGAGTACCCCTCTCAAAGTGCATGTGAGGGTGGATGTGGGGAGGGATCCCCTGGATAAGTTGGAAGGTGCCGGAGCCCCCAAACTTGGCCTAGAGCCCCAGAGGGAGATGAGAAAATGAGGAAAAGCAGAATGAACCACTGGCTTGGTAACCAAGCTAATACCGAATCTTAGCTCTGTGACCTTGGGCCAATTCCTTATCCTCAGATTTCATTGTCTTCTGCATGGACTGCAAACGTAATAGCTGTCTTGAGAGGTTGTGGAGGAGATTAAGCAAGCTCAAGTGTGTGGCAAGGTACAAAACTGGCATCCCATGGAGGTGACTTGCAAAACGTTGTTGCCCTGTCCTTGAGGAGAAGCTACATGGCTGGAAGATCCCAGGCTATAGAGAGGCAGGAGCCCAGGGCCAGACTCACCATCTTGTTCCCGGAGGGCAGCTAGGCTCTTCCTTACAGCTTGTGGTCAAGAGGCCAGCCCGAGCATGTGCTGCTGCCTCTTGGGGGGCCACCCTCATGCTCTGGGCTTTTGCACCCTTCGCTTCTTCAAAGAAGTTTGGTGTCAAGGTTAGATCAGTACCAGTGGCCTGGGTACCTAACTGAATTTTGTTGTTCAGAAAGACTCAGAACTGGGTGTCTCAGGGCAGGCCTGGAGCTCCACATTATACCCAGGCAAGGGGAGTTTCTCCTATCCAGTGCTAGCTTGGCCTTGACCTGGACTTTGGGGTTCCTGGCTCTAGGATGGTTCTGTGATGGGGTGGGGCTCAGGCTATGGAGGCCACCAGAGCAGGGTTCAGCTCCTAGACTTGTCTCTTGCTGCCCATGTGACTTTAGACAACATCCACAAAAGATTTATAAGACCCAGACTCCTTTGCTGCAAAATGGGGGCCATGTCGCCAACCTCAGAGGCTGCTGTGTAGACTGAGCATGCAAGGTACTTACCAACCCTACATGGCCCCCTCCTCTCAGTGTGGGCTGGACCTGTGACACGCATGGCCTCTTGATTGGAGGTTACCTCTGGGAGTCTCAGTGACCCTCAAAGAAGGTGTTTCATTTTCTTTATCCTGGCAATGGGAAAAATCACTCCCCACACATCCTAGCCCATGTTGCGGTGCTATGATCCTGCCTGCACAGCTGGTGACTTATAGAGTTTCCTTTAACTTGCTGTGCTGGAGGTCTAAGAACCTGGTGCTGGCATCTGCATGGCTGAGGCTTGGTGCCTGCTGAATTGTGGGTCCCTGGGTATGCCTGTGTGTATGTTACTTGGTATGTTCTGGATAGTATCATCATGGGATAGAAGCATGTGTGCATGCATGCAAGGTAGAAATAAAACACAGGGATGATTGAACCTTACAACCCCTTCTGTCTGTAATGCAGTCTCGTGAGACCCAGGTAGCTCCCATGAGACCTACTCTGGGATCAAGAGCCCTAAGCCAGTAGTGCAACAAGTCGCCATGTCCCTGCCCCAGGCTCTTCCTGGAGGTCCCATCACCTCTTGTTACCAACACATTGAGAAACAAATTTCAACACTTGTTTTCATGAGGACAATCTAGAAGCAAACCCTGGTACTGCAGATTCCGCTCTCAGTGGAGAAATGAAGGAGTGAGGAGTGAGAGCGAAGGGTCAAAGTACAGATGGGGTGTCGGGGTTGGCTGCTTCTGAGACTGCTTGGGTAGCTCAGGTGCTGGACACGCAAGAGAGGGAGACTGCAGTGGGAAAGACCCAGAGTTTTCTGACCAAAAATCAAGGGGAGGAGAGAAACACAGAGGGCCAGAGACAGGAACAGAGATGGAAGCAGGTGCAGAGAAGAAGGGGCCAGAGGCAACA